TTGGAAACCGATGACATATGTCAACCAAGTCAGCGAGTCTGACCAACCGATCCTGTTAGTCGCCTCTTACGACAAGCATGGGTTACTGAAGATCCTTATTCTAACCCGGAAATTCACGGTTTTTTACATCATTGGTATTGTCCGATTAATGAAGCATAGTTTTAATGACTGTAATTTATCTGTGCATGTGCAGTGAGTAGTTAAGTTACAGTAGCAGCAGGAACAAAACGTTCGTTGTTATAACGAGGAACGTAAGTAATGGTGTTACTCTCTATATTGGTTAAACAGACGTAAATTAAATAGCTTGAGGTCATTTAAATGTCTTATTACCAACTGTTCAAGTTTTCCACAATAATCTCTGTCAAATCGCGATTGAATGTTCAGAAGGTTGACCCGAATGTATTTCTTACATTTCCGGGTACTCGACTCCGATTCGGGTACGTACATGCGGGTACTCGATTCCATTGTTTCCTACTGGTCCCAGCCCTACTGAATTCCTCATACATTTTAGAATCTAATTACAACTGGTCTTTTTGGCACCAATACCAAGTGTCTAGATAAAGTGAAACGAAAGATATTGGGGGTGCTCGAAAGACAACACCTGTTTGAAATGTAAACAAAGAAAATTTCAGACTTTACACTGTGTAGCATTTTCTAAAATTTTCAGACACCCATTTGCATGGAAAGAGCATAGTAGCAAGAAATGGGAAATTAAAAATAGATACAATACAGGAATGTGATGTGTTTACACGAAACTGTCAAGTTTCTGTGCTGCGTGACGCCATGACTGATGCAAGTGTTAAAAGATGAATCGTGGGCATCATGCATGTACTTGTGAAACATGTATTTTAGTTCCTATGATGTGCATAGATACAGTTTCGTATGTAACTCTTCGTCAGAATAATTTCCAAAATCGAAGTCCAGTCCACGATACACCCTATCCTTTCTTTGCTGAACTGGCATCATGAAAGCAGTGTTAGCCATGAACGCCATTTGCGAGTTAACCACACTATTAAAAAGTTAGCGGCGGTCCTTAGGTGTGTTAACTTAACGTCACGTTAACAGCCTGTTAAAAGTTAACAGAGTTTTGAACAACAAGATAACCCTCTGTTATTAGGTAACAGTCGGTTAAATGTACTTAACGGCTGGTTAAAAGATAACCGAGTTTTGAACAACCGGGCCCTGATAGACGACAGTGTGTCTCTGTTAATGGAACATTATGAAAACTAAATGTTACTGCAGGGGTTCCTCAAGGATCTGCCCTTGGTTAATTTGTGTTCCTTGTATATATCAATGATTTACCTGGAAATTTACAAAATATCACAATAATGTTGGCCGATGACACATCAATCGGTGTTGCGGGAAAATATGTAAAATTCATAGAAGCAACTCTCAAATATGATTTAGCCCAATTGAATAAATGGGCAGAAAAGTGGTGTGGTGTGTTCTAACGGTTATATCTAGCATACTTTAAGACATAGAGGGGGTGGTGGTGGTTCTAACGGTTATATCTCTAATACATGTAGAGGTGGAGGCCTAACGGGTATGAACAACAATAAAAACTTTCATGCATTTATAACCCACATTTTCGAACCCTTTTATCGGTCTCTAAAAGGGAGCTGGCAATAGATTTTAATGAGCTTCATCCTTCAAGCCTGAAAACCTTTTAATATGGTTGATTAATCCTTTGTCATTTATCAAAAAAAGTAGTGAGGTTGTGCTCTATTATTATAGATTTCTAAAATATATGGACACTATTGGGACGTTGGTAACTGTCATCAGACATTATTTGACGACATTTCTCATAGTTTGAATATAGCCGACTTTATAGAAGATAAATATCAGTTTACAACACAACTGCCTAAATCTTGGTATTTTCGGAACCAGAGAAGGGATATGCCGATATTTAGGTCGTTAACCTTGCATATTATGGTCACGAATATAATTTTCTATTTATTACCGAAGTCTTTAATTGCGGAAATTCCGCGATAATCTACTTTCCATCAAAGGCAGGCTCCCCGCCATCGTTGTATTTAGAAGGCGGCTTCTTAGAAGCAACGTGACGTCATAACATTGTTCATGATGTCATGTCACCATGATAAAGTGATATTTTACACGGTGCATATCGCATGAAAACAAATTATCCCCGATATGTTTGCCCTCGTAGGTTATAAGCATTGTTATGATCATTCGTTGAGGTTAATGCCACCCGTTGAATTCTTTGTTGTATTTTGAGCGGTGAAACTAAATAAATGATTTCTTTGGTCTACCCATAACAATTAAGGTGTCAACTTCCACTGTATACCTTACAGAAAGAAGTTTTGACTTTACTTTGATAACGAGCACATCTGATCGATTCCTTGAAGCAAATGATGCAATTCAATATCATTTCTACATTTTATTTTAAATGCATCAATCAAATACAACAAATGAGTAGACAGACTGACTGCTATGTGGCAAGGAATAACCAGGCGCCAGCGATTTATGATATTCTTAGCAAATGTAACTTAAAATTCCCTCTCATAAAAATACAATAACATATAGTAATATGATGAAGAAAATAATACGAACCAGGTTAAACTATGACAACGCAATATAAGAATGTATGATCGAAACATAAATCATAATAAATCCCATATGATTAAAACATTAAATTAACTTCAAATATGTCATTGCGTCAACATTGAAAATAATTCGAAAATGAATAAAAAGAAACGTACATTTCAAAGCGTAAACAAACAATATCCTGTTATTTTGGGATATGCTATGAAGAACTTGAAAATTATGTAAACGTTACCGAAACTGTCATCTGATGCCTTGATTCAAAATGCGAACAAATTCCATCCATTAGGTTTGGAGATATCGCAAGAATACTCGCTGTGACCTTGAAAATAATCCGAAGGTCACTGAATTCGACTGGCGTTAGACGATACTCCCAACGCATCTTGGTACTACCTTTAAGCAAAACATATTAATTCTGTCTTGTATTTTCGCACTAAAAAGTTAGACATGTGCAAAACACTTTTCACCTTGAACTTAAAATGAGCACAAGTTTCCCAATCAATTGGTGTTGGGGGAATCCCGCCAATACACCTTGATATAAAATTGGATCAAAATCTATTAATACTTTCCTGAGTTCGCGGCTACCAAGCTTGGCATGTGCAAAACTGTTACACCTTCGCTGTGACCTTTAAAATGACCTCAATGTCACTAAATTCAAGTGGTGTCGGTAAATCTCCAATCTCCAGTCAATAAACCTTGGTACCAAATTTGAACAAAATCCATCATTTCTTTCTCGAGTTCTTTCAGTAAACAGAATGGGGAGTCATTTGAACAAGCGATTGTAGTTTTGAAATTGCCTTTTTGTGCAGTTTAATATCTACGTTTGATTCTAGCCGACTTCTACCAATCTCAAACATAGCATATTTTGTTTCCTGAAGTTTGTGATGCATTTTATTGCAGATTTTACGTTTTTTGGGAGTACCAAGCCAAAGTCTCACAAAATGGGGATCGCGAGGCTGCAACATAGCAAAACCAATTTGCTTGAGGCTGACAGATAATATGTAGAAAAATAAAACATAAAAACAGCTGCATTTGTATCATATTCTAGGTGAGGCTGACTACTATTTGAACGTCCCTCGTAGTTATACCCGTTAGAACACCCACCCACCTCTCCGACTCTACATGCATGCAAGTGTGTTAGATATACCCGTTAGAAACCCACCCCTACCCCACCCCCACTTTATATGTATACATATCAAAACCTCAAAAGATATTTGCGAAAAGACATGATACAGAGGACAGATTATATCGATTATATATCAGGACGAAAATCATTTTCGTCATTTAGCTAAGATTTGTCAATTCTTTCTTGGGTTATCGCGCTAACAATCTTTATGTTGGCAAAACCCTCAGATTTTTTGCTGTGACCTTGAAAATTATCTCAAGGTCACTCCATTTCACTTGTGTCAGTGAATCTCGCCAATATACTTTGGTACCAAATTTGAACAAAATCCATCATTTCTTTCTTGAGTTATCGCCCTAACAAGCTTATTTGATGTATGAAATGCAACGAAAAACAAACACCCGCGTATTTACGAGTGAATAAACAAAACTGTTATTACAATTTACGTAAATATTTATTACATTTTACCGCAACGAAAATTATTACAATTTACGTCAATTTTTATTACAATTTGCGTATTACAATTTACGTCAATTTTTATTACAATTTACGTTTTTATTACAATTTACGTCGTAACAATGCCTACTCCTTGGCGAAATGTTTTACCCCCACAATTTACAAAGGTGCTGTCAATGAGAAAATCCATCATTTCAGGTATTGTTTTCTCGCTAAACTTTCAGTTTTTACAAATTGTCCTGAACCTCTGAAGATAGATATGTAGGTACATCTTTGTTCACCACATTTGTTTAAAAAAGCCCGATGAATCAAGGAATGAAGATTTTTCTCAAGTTTTTTATGTGGGATAGTGATATACATTGTTGAACAATCAAATGATTTTTACAGAACGGAACTCGATCCGTTTCTGAGATTCTAAAAATGTAACATTCATTTAACATAATGTACAATCCATTTTAAAGCAATTTTAACATTAAGCCCATCTTGACCAAGCTGCCTTCCCTGCATCATAACAATCAGAACTGACATCGAGTTGTTTGTTGGGATCGTCGGTGGCAGCAGAGTGGTTGAGGTGCCAGTAAAATATTGAGCCGTCACAGACAGCAGTTTGATTGAAGAGTTTTATTGGATCTTGCAAGAAGTATTCTGATGAACAATATCTGCCTCCACATATATAGAAGCAAGAACACGCTGATACCTTTTTCGACCCGTTGAATGTTCTTGTAAAGTGTGGATTTGATAAGCTAAGGTATGAGCACGGGACCTCTTTAAAAGACCAGTTTCTGTTGTTGAAATATGTGATGCCACAACAACATGGAATCTGTATAACTCTTCTTGTGAATACAAAACAATCCAGACCAATTTTTAAGATTTTATTAATTTTAAGGGACAAACAATTCAATGATCTCAAATTTGAAAAGAAGGTACATTATCTCCATAGTAGCTCGTATAACGGTTAGATAGATCTTAATGAAGTACATCACTTATATCAGTGAATATATAACACAACTTCACTCTTCACAGAAGGTAAAACAAAATCATAATTATTCGCATGCGGATTTTACGAACTATGTATAAAAGCTGATTTTAGATATTATCCCCGTTCACTGTACCTTAAATGTCTGAGAACCTGTGTAGTTTCCAGGATATGGCATAAACGAGTGAGTAGCTCACTATTCAACAACAAGGCAGCAGCGACCAGCGCTCATGGTCAAAATAACACGGTTACAATTACAAAAACGGAAATGGATTTCTTATTACCTGATGGTAAAATACCATTGCACAAAACAGACAAAACACATATAATCTTGACGTACATATCAATGGTAATGTTCTTATCCTATTGAAAAAAATTGGATGAGCAGAAAATATTGTTGGTTTACAGTTTATATGTGTATATTTAAATATGTGTTCACATGCGTAGTGTTAAGATAACTCTTATAGTTCATATGCCTTTTTGAAACAAGCGATACAACTGTACATATGATATACTTCATTCTTAAAAATGAAAATCAGAAGATAACTAACAAGTGTATTTTTCAGGAGTAAAAAATCTGCAAAACTGCATAAACATCCAAACAAAAGAAAGTACATACTTAAATATTATTACATAAGTCGCCGAAACACTGAAAAACTGATTAACTTCCATATCTATGATACCCGTATCAAAGACATTCAGATAATAAAACAAAAACAACACCATTTCTTGTTTCATTTTAAACACCATCGAACATGTTTGAATACCAAAAGACGGTTATGGAAGGCATAAACAGTGATATTAAAACTATATTATTGTTTCCGTCGATACGTGTTATACATTTTCTTGAAATGATATAGAATTTTGTTCAAAATAGGAATGCACATACGGTGTTACACTTATGAAATTTAAGGCACATAAACATCGTACATCTTGTTCCCATGCCCACTAGGGTACCCCGACTTCTCATGGGCTACAGTGTGGAGGAACTGGTCATACGTCATGCGCGATGAGTTCGTATTTGTACTTCCGGTTGGACTGTATCTATGTTTTTCATCCCCATGTCGTAATTGACTTCCGTTGCTGCCGTTGCCACCGTTACTGCCGTTGTGAAGCTTCTCTAGACTCTGTAAAAATATAAGATACGAGAAATGTAAACATATAAATAATAAATTGACACCCAAGTTCAGATGAAAGTGAATTATATTTTGACTATCCATGGATATACACGTGGATGTACATACGTAAAATGCATTAGCGCCGTAATATGAACTGATATTGGGCCATGTTCCTGAGTTATTAACATTGACACAGCCCATCTTGTGCTCTCCTTAAACATCCTTATAACGTCCACGTAGCTGGTCAAAAGTCGCACTGCAGCTGTAAGATAGCTGTTCTTGTGTGCGTTAGTGAGTCTGAATAGTTCAACGCTGCTATATATATTTCTGTAATATAACGGCGTATGAACTTGATTGTGATGCTGGATTTCTGTTGTGAAAGCCATGGTCATGAGTATGGTTCTTACAGATCTAGAAACATCAATAACTTTGGCAAATCAGGGATTCCAACCCACAATTATAGTTATACTGTAGTGTTCTGGCATGCCAAAGGGACTCAACTCTCTACAGTTTAACCTTTGTGTCACTTCTGTTTCTGCCAGCGCGGTACGTGAAGTTTACTGTTCAAGAGCACATTGTATTATAAATTTTGTCGTTTATGGGCCGTTTGAGCAAGTGTAATTTCGTCCAGCACAAGGGTACTGCTGATCATGATTAGGCTACTGTGTGATTAGGTAGTGAAAAATTTATGGCACGGGGATTGCTGCCACATGGAGAGGTATTTTGCTGTCAGTAACCCGTGTACATGGGTTAACTCACTAATTAGGCCATTGCGGATACACACCGTTAGCACCCAACACCCATTCACATACTGATCTCTGCCACACAAATCTGTTACGCCCTACACCATCCATTCAAATAAATCGCCACTATAGGACCAGATAGTTGAGTATCAGAGTTCAGAAGGTGAGTATATAGTCATTAAGTCTTGTGACCTTGAAAACGAGAAACACTCTAGCTGTTTGTTCAGAGGTTAATTAAGTGTTAATACAAATTTCACATCTCTCTTCGTGAGAAAAGCTTGCATAGTAGTAACGTCAGTAGAGCAAGTGTGTTGTGAAAGCGCGGCCTGATACAATGCCATGAAATTTGACAGGTGTTTACCGAATCATTTTTTCAGGGTCGGCATTTTTGTTGAAATCTTTCTCCATTCTGTTTTGGTAATATAATTGATGTGGGTGCGCCTTTTTAGTCATCTGTTGAGGCATCTGTTTTACAAAAAAACACAACGAAAGTGACAAGACATAGTATCAAGAGACCGCACCTCACTTGATTCCGATTACAGTTTCATCATGGGGTTCAAAAGGAAGGGAACTGAATGATCATAAAAAGGTACAGATGGATCGCACGCACCCACACACAAACATTAAAATGTGTTTAATAAGCTTGTAATACATAGTGAAAATTCAAGAGCAAGAACAGCGTGCAAGAACATAACAGCTGCCTTGTCATGATGTATACGAACAGAGCTATGCATGGACATGAAAGCAGGACCAACATGCAAATCTTAAGCATATGCAAATAGCAAAACATTAGTCAACAACAATTTAAAGTTCATATTGTCTTAAGGTTTTGGTGAGCTAAAAATGTCTGTAGCCCTCCCTGCAAACCCAAAACCAGTTAAGTGTTTTTGATCCAATTCGTGCTGTGCAAACTTAATAGAATACGGAATTTTTTATCCTATTAATATGGATGTCTTTAACATCATATATGTCGTTCTCTTTCACATCCAATTTCGGTCTTATGATAATCCTATCTCACCATCTAGCCCTCTTTTTCACACTCTTTGATTTTATTTCCGCCTTATTGTATCTCCTCTATAAAGCCCACCTTGACATCGTTTATTGTAAGATTCATCTTGGGGTACATGAGGCACTGGAGGTATGCCAGGAGAACTTATTCCGATACCATAATATTAATCATATGTAAATATGCCACCTGTAATTAATGGACTAAAACAAAATAAACAGTCAAATATACCACCAAAGTGAAACAAATGAAGCGAACAACAAATGATTAAACTGAAATTATATAAGAAACTCAGAAAACTGAATATTCTAAAGTTCGTTTTCCTTTCAGTGTTTGTCCAAGTCAAACCCCAGCCCTGTATAACCTTCACCTCCATAACCAGGATACCATTAAGTATAAACAAAACTTCTGGAAAAACCAACATGCAATAAAAAAGATAAAATGGGATATAATATTAAAAATTTATGAAGATAAAGCAGGATGCAAGAGTTGTAAGAAGACAACGCCAAACAATAAACAGAATGATGGAGTAAAATTCCGATTTTACCAAAACATTTTTACTTGGTGTTCACTAGGGTTGACTGCTTGGTCCTTCTTGCTTCTATAAAACTCGTATGATCCATTTTCGAATGCAAACTTGTCATTTGCCAGCTGTGATGGTAAATAGTGAGACATATAGTTATCGTTACCTTCGTATATTCATTAATTTGAATCTTCCATAAAACCATTTATTTAGGACAAGAGAATGAGGTTGTCGATTAATAATTCTATATACTACTCAAATTAAGGACTACTTTATCCTGACAATGAAGTGTACTTTTAAGTGAGCTAACATAAGGAAGCTGCTAAAATTTATCACTGCCGTGATCTGATGTATCTATGTTGAAATTTATTCTCATTACTCTGTCAAGATGGCGAATCCGCATCAATTGATCGGCCAAATATTACTTTGAACGTTTTGAATAGTTGAAATTATACTCTGGGAAGAAACACATCGACAAACATAGATAACCGTCTCTCATGCCGCTGACTCTGTCTTTATACTTTTACTGTAATAGTTAAGGGCAATGCTATACTCTATTGCACTACACATGGGTATTAAGAGCCCGCTATATGTTCTAAATATGGTTTTGAAGATCATTATCATGTTGAAACCACTCCACTGTATTGAGATGGTTAATCGCTGTCTTAATCCTTCGTTACGGTGCATTGTCATCTTAATTACAGTAGTAGATGGTTTCGTGAAAGTAACCCAGTCCGGTTGAAACTACTTTATGCCACACAGTGTATCAATTAACTGATTCTTGCTATACTTGTCTTCTTATTAAGAAGGATCTATTTCTGAATTAATATTGTGTTTCTTCAACGCAAGTTTTGAGGTTATATTTTTGTTCATAGGGACTCCTGACCTTATTTAAGGTCTTTTGTTGGAAATATTTGCAACATTTAAAATTAAAACGGAAGAATCGGAGAGTATGTTGCGCTCTCAACACACATAAAGCAACCTTAAGTGCAGTTCACATGCATAAAGTCAGTGATTCGGTGAATTGAACAGGTTGTTTTGACAAGGATCCCTTGAAGCGGTGCGCTTGTCACAGCAAGGGCGATAATCCAATGACCCAAACCGCATATGACAAAGTGCTGTGGTAATTTCACAACGACCCAAGAAGAAGCTTTTCATATGATTGCTATAGTTGCCATTCTTCAGATGAATGAATTCTGTGACTCAACACAGACCAGTCTCAGTATTGTGATTTCATAGCGAGATTACAAAGGATAGGCGTTCAGTCATGTTATCAACTGACATGTGACATTACTGCTTACCGAAGACGACTTCATAGTCCTCATCTCCTTGATCTTACAGATGCACACGACGATGCCGACGGCGATAAAAGCAACGCTGACTCCGATGACAATCTTCTCAAGGAGGGTGAGAACCATATCATCATCCATATCATCATCTGTATATGGAATAAAGGTACAGATTGTGTGAGTGTGGATATATATGTATATATATATATATATATATATATATATATATATATATATATATATATATATATATATATATATATATTGACTAAAAGAATCGGTGTTAAAACTCTTGTAGGTATTGGTCTATCTATTCCAAATGTTTTGATTTTTGTAAAATCTTCTTGTAAAATGCCATAAGTTTCAGTATCAGAACAACATCTATAGCAAATGGATGCAAATGTTACATCTGTCGCTATTGTTTCATGGTTGGGAGGATAAACACGTTCATTTTACAACAATTACCGTGTATGCATTATTCTCAATAAAGACCCGTGAAGGTCCGGGTTAGAATATTGATCTTCAGTAACCCATGCTTGTCGTAAGAGGCAACTGACGGGATCGGGTGGTCAGGCTCACTGACTTGGTTGACACATGTCATCGGTGCCCAATTGCGCAGATCGATGCTCATGCTGTTGATCACTGGATTGTCTGGTCCAGACTCGATTATTTACAGACCGCCGCCGTATAGCTGGAATATTGCTGAGTGTGGCGTAAAACTAAACTCACTCACTCACTCACTAAATAAAGCACTAGGTAAGAAAATGTATTCACTATAGTTTAATGTGATAAACATTTATAAACTTCAAATATATAAAAAGAAAACTTGCAAAGGTCCAAAACACAACTGCGATATCCGTATCCAACCCATCACCATGGAAGACATAATGGTTTCTTGCTGCTTCTGTTCAGCCGCCATCAAACAATGATGTATGTTAATGCCTTTCCTTTACCCCGAGTACAGTTATCTCCCTTCATACACACGATATGGAAGTGGAATGAACAACCTTGATGTAGGGTCTGATTTACGGTTAAATAAATGTTTCCAGTCAACACCGGAAATGTTCAACGAACCTGTATCAGCAGGATTGGTGATTTTTAGGTACCCTGGGTCCACAACCACGTTTCCCAAAGAGCCGTTTGATTGGATAGACTTGAAGAACGTTTTGGTATCGCTTTTCAGCGCCTGTTCGCTGACAATCCCGGAAGAGGGCGTTACTTGAAAGTCAGCAATGACACTCCCCTGCCTGAATGAAAATATATGTATATTTGAAGCATTCACTCGTGATCACCAATATCCCAATATCCCAGCTCTAACACTATTACCCTGGTCACCCGAGAGGGAGTGAGTGAAGTTTTACGCCGCACTACGCAAATCAAACAAATAATCGACTGATCGATAACCACTAACACTTAACTATACCCGATGACATAGTCACCCAAGTCAGCGAGTGAAAACGGAGGTAGGCCTATGGCAAGCATATGTGTATGAAGCTTTGTATCCCGGATCTTCATACCAGAGATCCGGGGTAGGGTCGATTCCTGTTTATACATGTATGTAGAGTGTGAACCCAATTCTGGTGCCCGCCTAGTGATATTGCTGTAAAACCGGTGTTACCCTTTAACTCATTCTCAGGTAAAACCATATCTTTGGATCTTTGATAAAATAATGTATTGCCATATATGTTCCCCACTGAACGTATGTTTTAACTATTTTCAGTGTGTTGAATATGCATCCGAAACAACATTACGAGCGAATATAACAACATAGGTATCAGCTAACATAGGCATTAACTATCTACATACTTATTGTTTATGTTTGGAAGAGGACAAAGCAGTCATAATACTACACATACCTGAGAGGTTTCTTTTAGAATTCCATTCACAACGAAAGCTGATATCAATTTATTGAAATGCTAATAAAATCATTATGACTTACCTGATATTGATGACTTCTATTTTCTGTATAGATGCTGGTTTAGTGAATTGACTTAGCTGAAAAGTAGTAATATACTCTTCCAATAAATACATGGGCATGGGTTGATACGAATTACTGTCAACATGGCGCAGATGGTAACTATAGAATACTACGATACAGCCATGGGGAATGTTTTGTTGGGAGGTATTATATAATGTTCTGCTGTATTGTTACTATAGAATTCCGTCATTCTGTTATTAACTGTACAGTTTATATTCTCAATCAAGATTCTGTTCTTTTTGCAGCGCCGGGGTTTAATACAGTGTCATTGTATATAGCTGGGTCGTATCTTATTGTTTTCATCAACATTGGTAACAGGCGACAGGCGATATTACCATATACCAGCGCCTTGAGCATGCACTAGCTGCCTGGATATGTGCGCTATATAAATATCCTATATCATCATCATCATCATCATCATCATCATATATTTACAACATTCGAATGATAAAAAGGTTGCACATGTCAATATACATGGCCATTTAACATAAACTGTTTTAAAAGATTACACAATAGCATACTGAATACCGAAGTGAAAATCCCCAAATGTCTTTAAGTCCAACATGATGATTTGCTTACCCCTTCTTGCAACTGATTCTTCAGATTCATATATTCAGTGGAGAGCTTGTTGGCGTATACCGGTGTATACTGCAGATTGGGAAAGCGAAGGGAAGCCACGAACTTGAGCCCTTGTTGAGAACCTGAAATCAAATTGGTTGCAGTATGAAATTCGTAACAGAAAAGACAGAGCAAATAATCAAAACCGTCATCGATGAAAATTGCAGTTGATGCTCAAAGCCTGGGAACATTGACAATATTAAATCGATGGACTAATATGACCACAAGACACATTAAAGAATGAATCCTTTCTTCATCCCAAAAGTCCTCCATTCCCGACATCGATACCCCGATGATGTGACGCCGACTCCATCTAATATGACTAATATGACCACAAGACACCTCAATGAATGAATCCCTTTATTCCCCCAAACCTCCCCTCTTAGCAACGTCGATACCCGATGTTACGCCGACTCCATCTAAACTGACGGGTAAAAGAAACTATCTTTGATGGTTGTAAGTCGATGGTGAAATGTTTCGTATGAGTATCACATGGTTGTGCTTTAGACTATACGTTTGCAGTGTCTATTTTAAGCCCAGTATTGATTTGATGATATTAGTCATCATCATTTGGTCAAATCCAATCCTCAAGTGTATACATTCCCCTTCCCGACAGTTTATCAAAACGTTTAGTGAAAACAAGAAAGATCCTCTTTTGTTTCTGATACGATATAAAAAATTCAATTTGTGAATTGCCCTATCGTAAAATTTACTGCTTTTCTTTTTTTCTTTAAAATGTTTTCTGTATTTTCGACTGTTCTAGGCACAGATATATATAAAAACCTGCGGTTATACCTCCATCACTTGCACAGGTGCTGCGGAAACAGATTCTCTGAGCGGACACCCGGGGCGTGGTTACGTGTTGAGAGATGCCCAGAGTTGTTGGGTTATATGCCCCACCGACTGGAAACAACAAGAAGGGACACCCGGTGTCGGTATCTGAGAAGGTGAAGTCCTCAGACTGACCGGTGTTTCTTTTACGTGAGAACTTTATTTCAGTAACTCCATTGGTGACCTTTCCTGATGTGCCAACTAAGTTCTCTACTGCGTCAACTTGTGGGGGACTATATCCGGTGAGGAACCTGGAAATATGTTTTAGAAAATAAAAGAATTGTGCATACTAGTATATAATGTACAACATATTACCTGCTTGTCTGACAGTAAAGACGCCAGTATCGACCATTTTGCTCTGGTCATATAAACAATAATTTAATTAAAGTTCAAAACTAAACCTGATAGACACCAAATATCCTTCGCAGTATGACGAAAGAATATATCATTTTCAAACCTTTCGAATACAGCCTGGTTGCCTGCGTATGCTGCGCTGGCGCTAAACTGACACATGTAATGAATGAACAATGGCTGGGTCGACATTCGGTATATTATACCAAGCCTATGCAAGTACAGTTTTAGAAACAAGAAGCGATTGCAATAATAAATATCAACATTTGACTGCATACCTTCGCGGGATATATCAGTCTAATTACACACCACCCTGAGATAGAAGTTGTTTTATTTTCCGGAGTAAGATATACTCGCATATTAAGCTAGCTTAGTAGCTACAAATATACCCCCTTTCCGGACAACTTATTACATACTTGTCTGAGATACATCACTCAAGCTACGTAGGTGTCTGAGATATCAAACTAGCTGTATACCTGACTAGAAATATGCAAACCAAAACATGAGTCTCATTAACCTATTCAGACGATGACCTACTTTTCAGCCGATCCGAATTTTCTCGTGTGAAAGTGAAAATAGACATCACAAACAACTATGGTTACACTGAATTCTAATTTCTTGTTTCATAAGAAAGTGGTATTTACAAATGAATTGTAATTTTAAACTTTAATAACATCGTATTTCTATATTTTATGGCGAGGTGTAGGCAGCATGACCTTAACTAAGACGTCACTGACTGCCCCTGTTGGATGAGGTCGTAAAATGATTCACAATCACAATGCATCTGGCTCACTGGTTACACCTGTAATGTGTTTTTTTGCGCTTATTCAGTGTAGTTCTGTAACGCACAATGTAATTGATATAATATCAAATCCGTACCAGACCGCCAAACCTCTGGACTGGTTATTGTACTAAGTTGCGCAATAGGACGGGGCCCAGTCAACAGGAAACGAGACTGTTGTGTAATGAATGTTTTGACTTGATCTAGTTACATTGCTCGAGATATATCGCTCTTGCTTTATACCTTCATATCACTAAATCTCTGGCTGAGATATAACATTGTGGTAAAATGTACATACCTGTCCGAGATGTGAGTTGTGGTACCATCAACCCATCCGATCACAACGTCAGATGATGTCTGAAGATGTTCAAGTTTTGTATGTTTTACATGTATTGACAGGGGTTACTGTGGCGGTGACTTCTCTAACAAGGTGTTAGAAAGTGAGTGAGTGAGTTTGGGTTTACGCCGCTTTTAGTAATATTCCAGCGATATCACGGCGAGGGACACCAGAAATGGGCTTCACACATCGTACCCATGCGAGGAATCGAACTCGGACCTTCGGCGTGACGAGCGAACGCTTTTACCACTAGGCTACCCCACCGCCCCAGGTGTTAGAAAGAAAGAGACGAGTGACTGGATAAAGCGGAAGCTGGATATTTTGTAGACGCATCTTGTAGTTTATAGAAATCGAGAGGCAAAATCGGGATACTATCTTAATAATGTATAGGACTGACTATGTCCTGTTAACAACCAACCGATAACTATAAATCACAATTACAGATACATTGAAACAAACTACTTATAACTTTATGCTACTAGAAGGCCATTATAGATCCGTCTTACTACTTACAAATAAACGTCCATGTCAGGGGCGATCACGTTGAAAAGAGGTAACTTTTACTTTCTATAATGTTAAGGAAAACCACCTACCATTTTCCCAGTGGGTGAGAAACCGAGCCCTATCCACTTCCTCTCTCCATTCAACCTGGCGGTGATGGTGAAGTTGACCATGTCGTTGGCCACGTCCACGACCCATTTCGCCTGGTAGGGGCAGTTGTTGCACGTGGCTGGCCACTGACCGGTACATCCAGTGGGAGACTCAGATCGTCCTGCAACGACACAAGAAGCTATTAAAGTCTTGGTATAAATACATATATCAAAGATCCACTCTGGCTCGTTTCCCCTTGTTATAATGAAATTATTCTCTTCACATCTTCAACCTTGATCACAATTTGTTATCAATCCAGAATCAAAATAGTATCCAGGTTGTATTTTTGATTAGTTAACGAGCATTGTAAAACATTCTAAACATATTCCTACTACTACCGCATTCGCTTGTGGAGAAACAATAATAATAATAAATGTGAACTTATAATGCGCCTTTTCCATGCACAAGGCCCATGCTCAAAGCGCTAAAAAAGTGAGTGGATAATATACATATATACAATGAGGGACTAGTAGCTAGTCATAATGCAGTGAAAACAGATGGGTCTTGAGAAGTCGTTTGAAGGAATTAAAGTCAACTGCTGATTTAATGGTGATAGGGAGAGAGTTCCAGAGTAGAGGGGCAGAGCAGGCAAAGGATTTCCTTCCAAAAGTTTGCAGTTTGAACCGAGGCGCAGAGAGTAGGTTCAGATTCTGAGAACGGAGCTGTCTTTCTGGTGTGTATGGGGTAAGAAGCTCACAAACAAACTTGCGAAAGCAGGACTGAATGCGATGTACTCACTTACACAAAGCGTTTATAGAACTAAGTCATTCGTAAGTCAATGTTACAGTATCGAGTTACGATAGCTCGTAAGGTTACTAACGCTTTGTGGGTTGGACTCGGCCCGTAGTTACTGAGCCCTTCCCCTGACACTGTATAATATCCTTTGAGCGCTGAATATCGTTCAGTTGTACATTCAAGCTTGCAATTGTATTCCTTTGGCCCGTCAAGTGTCGATACCTGAACCTTATAGTACTATCACACAAGATATTGTCGCTACATGTAAGTACTTGTGTTTACTTATGTAACTACTTATATACATTAACACTACAACATGGCCTTCTAGGCCAGGTGTATATAACGTTATTATATTACGTGACGTTCTTGGACCATCTGGTGCAAATGACGTTGATAAATGACATTCTGGCACCAACTAGTTCACCTAACGTTAAAACATGACGTTCTTGGACCAACTAGTCCTGATAGAGTTCATTCATGACGTCCTAGGACCAACATATTCACCTAACGTTAACACATGACTTTTATTGGACCAACTGGTTCACCTAACGTTAGAACATGACGTTCTTGTACAAACTGGTGTAAATAATGTTAATACATGACGTTCTAGGACCAACTGGTGCAAATAACGTTAAAACATGACGTTCTTGGACCAACAGTTACATCTAATGTTAATACACGAAATTCTCGATCATCCTAGTGTGGATATCGCTACTCTATGACGTACCTCTGAAGTTGATGGTTGCTGTGCCTCTGTTGGGTCTGTGGCCGTGATACTTCAGCTCATCGTCATGGTAATACATAGCATTGGCCGCCGTCCCTGCCTCGATGCCAGAGTTTGGTGTATGAATCAAGTTGGCGCTGTCTTGACCTTTGGCCCAAATCACAGTCATAGGGGCGGGATCGAAACTATAATCAGCACGCTCAGTGGCTGAAAAAGACAATGACCGTTTTAAGCTCACCAGCTCTTAACATCTGCAACTGAAGAAATGAATTGATCTTGTCCGTTTTCTCAAAACAAGCTACGAGTGACTACAAGAATGACTACCACGATGACTGCAACTGATGAACTGAACTGAAACAGCAAGGAGAAAAATCAACAATATAACACAAGATAAAGACAATTTTCATTCATTGCATCTTCACGACGTTCACAGTGAACCCACCTGTGATCTTCTTCCTGAACAGTATAACAGTATATCCGTTCTCCTCAAAGCCGAGAGCAGCTGTGAGACTGTTAGTTCCACCATAGAAGTCATCATGTTGAGGGGTGGATCTGTCCCTGGTGTAATAGTCTCCCACCCTGCTCCTCATCCCCCGAGCAGACCCGATCACCATATCCGTGCAGTCCATGGGGTGGGTGCGGGCTACATGACCAGAATGATTTGTTTTGTTAATACACATACCAAGCATAATCATAGATATGGCCCTGGCTCCCTAAAAGGATGTTTGGACATTGTAAGAATATATGCTCACTAGACCTTACATGAAAACACCCTTACTGTGTAATTAATTAGTTTAGCGTTCATTGTAATTTAAGTAACAACACTTGCATTATGTTTAGAATAAAAACAACATTGTTACATCCAAATCTGATTCATTGATAATGTCTTGATTGATAAATCTTATGACGTTACAGTATCATTCATGCAAACAGATTTTTCTCCCGGCTTCGGTGCTTTTAATGCTTACCTCCTTGCTTGTTACCAGAAGCACCCCCTGGGATGCCAACTCCGCCTCCACCAGGGCTAGGTTCGCCTTCAGCAGTTGGTTCGCCTTCAGCGCTTGGTTCTGCTGTGGTCTCTGGTTCTGCTGTGGTCTCTGGTTCTGCTTTGGTCTCCGGTTCCGCTGTGGTCTCCGGTTCTGCTCTGGTCTCAGGTTCAGCTGTGCCCTCGGGTTTTGCTGTATGTTCCGGTTCTGCTGAAACCTCAGGCTGAGGCAGTGGTCTGCCTGCTGGATTCCGTACACTGGCTGGACCAGACAGTAGATAACACTGAGATGATGCTGCACTGTTCGATGATCCTTCAGGTTCAGGCTCAGAACTGCTCTCTGGTTCCGCTGTGCTTTCTGGCTCTGCTGTGCTCTCTGGCTCAGCGCTGCTCTCCGGTTCCGCAGTGGTCTCAGGCTCAGCTGTGGTCTCTGGCTCAGCCCCTGTCTCCGGTTCCGCTGTGGTCTCCGGTTCCGCGGCAGTCTCAGGCTCACTAGTCGCTTCTGGTTTAGGAGCTGGTGAAGCAGGCAGATTTGGGAACATCTGGCACCCAGATCGGAAATCTGAAATAACGTTACTAGAATAATATATATGTCCATATTCAGATTAGAGGATGATATTTTTGATATTTGTTCAACATAAGCAATCTCCTAACTTCTAATCACCATTTATCACAACCCGTAGTTACCAATACGTTGGACCTTAGAATTATCTAGATTGAATGCACTCTTTAACGTCTTTGTAACAGGCGTCAGTGTCATACTTCCCAGACCGGTGGGATGTTACTACTATCAGTATCTGGATTGTCTGGCCCACATTAAAGGTTTTCTAGATTCTAACTGATTAAATAAACCCTTTAACGTGCTTGTAAGGGGCTTCAGTGTCATAGTTCCCAGCCCAGGCGGATGTTACATGTAAGGGGCTTCAGTGTCATAGTTCCCAGCCCAGGCGGGATGTTACATGTAAGGGGCTTCAGTGTCATAGTTCCCAGCCCAGGCGGATGTTACATGTAAGGGGCTTCAGTGTCATAGTTCCCAGCCCAGGCGGGATGTTACATGTAAGGGGCGGGATGTTTCAGTGTCATAGTTCCCAGCCCAGGCGGATGTTACATGTAAGGGGCTTCAGTGTCATAGTTCCCAGCCCAGGCGGATGTTACATGTAAGGGGCTTCAGTGTCATAGTTCCCAGCCGGAGGCGGGATGTTACATGGGGGGCTTCAGTGTCATAGTTCCCAGCACAGGCGGATGTTACAAGTAAGGGGCTTTCAGTGTCATAGTTCCCAGCCCAGGCGGATGTTACATGTAAGGGGCTTCAGTGTCATAGTTCCCAGCCAGCCGAGGCCCAGGGCGGATGTTACATGTAAGGGGCTTCAGTGTCATAGTTCCCAGCCCAGGCGGATGTTACATGTAAGGGGCTTCAGTGTCATAGTTCCCAGCCCAGGCGGATGTTACATGTAAGGGGCTTCAGTGTCATAGTTCCCAGCCCAGGCGGATGTTACATGTAAGGGGCTTCAGTGTCATAGTTCCCAGCCCAGGCGGATGTTACATGTAAGGGGCTTCTGTCATAGTTCAGCCCAGTCAGGCGGATGTTAGTGTCATAGTTAAGGCGGTTAATATCTGTCATAGTTCCCAGGCGGATGTTACATGGGGCTTCGGTAGCCAGTCGCTTCAGTGTCATAGTTCCCAGCCCAGGCGGATGTTACGCGCAAGGTGCTTCCATGTAAGGGGCTTCAGTGTCATAGTTCCCAGCCCAGGCGGATGTTACATGTAAGGGGGCTTCAGTGTCATAGTTCCCAGCCCAGGCGGATGTTACAAGTAAGGGGCTTCAGTGTCATAGTTCCCAGCCCAGGCGGATGTTACAAGTAGTTCCCAGGGCTTCAGTGTCATAGTTCCCAGCCCAGGCGGATGTTACAAAGGTAAGGGCTTCAGTGTCATAGTTCCCAGCCCAGGCGGATGTTACAAGTAAGGGGCTTCAGTGTCATAGTTCCCAGCCCAGGCGGAGTGTCATAGTTCCCCAGCCCAGGCGGATGTTACATGTAAGGGGCTTCAGTGTCATAGTTCCCAGCCAGGCGGATGTTACAGTGTAAGGGGATGTTCAGTGTCATAGTTCCCAGCACAGGCGGATGTTACATGTAAGGGGCTTCAGTGTCATAGTTCCCAGCCCAGGCGGATGTTACATGCCCAAGGTGCTTCAGTGTCATAGTTCCCAGCCCAGGCGGATGTTACATGTAAGGGCTTCAGTGTCATAGTTCCCAGCCCAGGCGGATGTTACATGTAAGGGGCTTCAGTGTCATAGTTCCCAGCCCAGGCGGATGTTACATGTAAGGGGCTTCAGTGTCATAGTTCCCAGCCCAGGCGGATGTTACATGTAAGGGGCTTCAGTGTCATAGTTCCCAGCCCAGGCGGATGTTACATGTAAGGGGCTTCAGTGTCATAGTTCCCAGCCCAGGCGGATGTTACAAGTAAGGGGCTTCAGTGTCATAGTTCCCAGCCCAGGCGGATGTTACATGTAAGGGGCTTCAGTGTCATAGTTCCCAGCCCAGGCGGATGTTACATGTAAGGGGCTTCAGTGTCATAGTTCCCAGCCCAGGCGGATGTTACATGTAAGGGGCTTCAGTGTCATAGTTCCCAGCCCAGGCGGATGTTACAAGTAAGGGGCTTCAGTGTCATAGTTCCCAGCCCAGGCGGATGTTACATGTAAGGGGCTTCAGTGTCATAGTTCCCAGCCCAGGCGGATGTTACATGTAAGGGGCTTCAGTGTCATAGTTCCCAGTCCAGGCGGGATGTTACATGTAAGGGGCTTCAGTGTCATAGTTCCCAGCCCAGGCGGATGTTACATGTAAGGGGCTTCAGTGTCATAGTTCCCAGCCCAGGCGGATGTTACATGTAAGGGGCTTCAGTGTCATAGTTCCCAGCACAGGCGGATGTTACATGTAAGGGGCTTCAGTGTCATAGTTCCCAGCCCAGGCGGGATGTTACATGTAAGGGGCTTCAGTGTCATAGTTCCCAGCCCAGGCGGATGTTACATGTAAGGGGCTTCAGTGTCATAGTTCCCAGCCCAGGCGGATGTTACAAGTTAAAGTCACAGCATTGTCTGGCCCAGATTCGAAAGTTTTGGAACCACTTTACATTGATGAGTGCGACCTAACACAACCTACACAGACACACATAACAATGCTTAGGAAGTGTTTGTACCTGTAGGTTTCCAACCCAGACCAACCCATGTTGTAGTCTTCACCCGCATCACAACCTCCATTTCTTGCTCCGCCTGTAAAAGTGTGTACATCGTGAAAATCAGTCGGAGGTTTAATATTGCTTCGAGAAGCACACATTCAGGCATACAAACTGCACGAGTGTCTAATTTCAAGCGGGCGAGGCTCGTATTTTTCTGCGATAACTGATGTATCTCAATAACGTATACCCGTACAGGTATGTGCCACGAGAATTATCTCCTATTCTCGTCTTGTAATAACAGCATTACAAATACCTTTGAATCCGAAAGCCATGCTGAGGCATTGTACTATTCTTTTGAATCGGAACTTTTTCTTTAACCAGTTTCACGATTAGGAAAGATAAATACGTTCCATGATCTGTAAATGAAGGTTAATTGATGGTGCCATTTCAAAAAATTATATTGGTAATATAGCTGTATTTTGTGTTGAGTTTCAGTGGTGTTTAAGGGTGTATTTAGATTACCTGTAATTCTCTGTAAAACAGATCAAAGTCAGTGTTAAGGTTCCTCCGCTCGTACAGGCTATAGTCGATCGTCTTACTTTTCACTGTGGACACTGTGAAGAGAGAGCACATTGAGGGATTTATATTGGGAGTATATTATAGCAGTTAATTACGATTGATAAGTGGTGTTTAACATCACTTTGAGCAGTATTACCATTATATCTGCTTTTTTGTGATATGAAATATCCAGATAAGCTATTCGAGGACATGTAAACATGAAATGTTCACACGAAGGTCATAATTTTGATGTTCTCTGCCTGGCTAGGCATTAATGGGTGAAACAAGGACTGGTCGGCTCGGAATCAGTATTTTGTGTCTCAGGGTGTATTCATGTTTAACTGCGGCATGGTATCTCAGTGAGCTAGCACTATAAAACCAGCTTAAGTCTGGGCTAGTACAAGCAGCCACACATACCCACGCATGCACGTCGTCATATAATCAAAATATTCGTCTTAGGTACGACGTTAAACCCCATTTCACCACCATTATTTTGATAATGGGGGATTCGAACACAACATTAGCGCATCTTAGCACCGTGGTATGCAATGATAGGCACCATGGCCATGAGACCCAGTACACCGCGATATGAATTGATCGGTGATATATACCAACATATGCCATTTTCAGTATTAAAGAGTAGATTCAGAATCGCGTATAAAATAATCTTTCCCACCAATCAAACAGTTTCGTAAGCTTTAGGTTCACTTTCGTAAATGCATAAGTGTCATAGTGTGGTCTGATTACATAATATCCCTAAGCTCTCAGATGGCGTTGTGACTTACCTTTCTGACAGTTCTTGCCGAACCATCCTATGTCACAGTAGCACTGGAACCGAGGGTAGGACGTCGCCTGGGTGTCCTCGCACATGCCATGTCCGCCACAGTCAGAACCAGACTCACAGTCATCTGGGGATGCACAGTTGTTAGATAGTCATACATCAGATCAGATCATGGAACTACGAAGGTAACGGTTCCAAGAGGGTGGTAAATACTGAAGACTTGATGAGGATGATCATTTTGGGGAGGTGGTGTTTGCGAGGGTGGTGTTCATAGGCGGATCCAGGAATTGTCAAAGGGGGTAGGGGTGTTCAATCCCCCCGAAACCCTCCCCCCTTGCCTGCGCCAATGCAAAACATTAACCTCAATGTGATCTTTATTCATTTTCAAAAGGAAATGGTGTGTGTGTGTGTGTGTGTGTGTGAGTGTGTGTGTGTGAGAGAGAGAGAGAGAGAGAGAGAGAGAGAGATCGAACCCTCTAAAGAGAGAGAGAGAGAGAGACCTGGGGGCGGTGGGGTTATATTAATCTTGTATTTTCATGGTTAAAGCGTTGGCTCGTCCTTGCCGAAGACCAGGGTTCTAATTCCCACATGGGTACAATGAGTGAAGCCCATTTCTGGTGTCCCCCGCCGTGATATTGCTGGAATATTGCTAAAAGCGGCGTAAAACCAAACTCAGTCAGTCAGTCTAAACCCCACCTTGGTTCCGCCAATGGGGTCGACGATGGTGGCTGGTCGGGGGTGGTGGGGTTGGGGTGAGGGCGGTTGAACGGTGGTTCTGATAAAGGTTTTCCTTAGAACAGTTGTACTTAGATTGGGTGTTTCTAAGTACAGCTATGCTCCACTATCCTTTCTGGCCTCGCTCCACAAAGTGAATATAGTGGCAGCCACTGTCTATATTAGAGTATGTGATCGTCTTACCACTAACATAGCTTTTGAAACGCCCCTTGATGTGAGGGTGTTCCTCGTTTATGCAGACGGCTTTCACAGTATGTCCAAACGACATGTAGGCAAGTACAACAATGAATATATACGGGGAGTTCACCTTTTGGTGTTTCACGGCTTATGTTAAGCGCATGAATAAAATGAATTGTGTTCATTGTAGAAAAGGCTTTGGAAGCGCCAGTTAAATATTTGCAGGTCGTAGCCATACGCCTGGTAAATTTGATTGTGAACAAGCTGACCTGACACTGTCGCCGTTTTGTTTGACTTTATAAATTTCGTTTTATAAAACAAATATCCTTTTGCATTAGTTCAACTACTAGGTAGGGTCATGGTCATATAGGTGTACCTTTATATTGACATCGGTCTCCTCTGTACAAATAGTTGCAGTAACAGCGGTCATCCTGCCATCTTCCTTGCCCAGAACAAAGACTCTTGGGGTCAGCGACATCGCCTACGTGGAGAGGTAAATATGACGTGATGGCAAATAAATGCAGTATTTATTAATCCCTAACACATTGCTTCCTCCACACCACGAACTTGTACCCTGAATAATTGTTGGAACATTAACACATCTGCGACATTATCTTTCAAATTCGCTTTAGAAAAGGAGTCTCTGCTTTGACAGAGTTAATGAGTTCTACGAGGCTTTTAAATTTATTTCATTTGCATCGTGGCGTATCATCTCAGGAATGCTCAGACAGTTGTAGAGGAATCCACTAAGTCTTTACCGAAACCAATCACCAGTGATTATTATTTCCTGGCACGAGGCTACTCTGTAAAAGCACTGGTGTGGAGTCATCTGCCCATTGGGCCACTACTACACCAAATCATATAATCAGGTATGTCTGTGTTTGGCCAAATTAGTGTAAGAACTCCTGCTGATAATGTTATTTATGCAATAGCAGATAACGCCTCCACGACATATCGATGTACCTTTAATGATTTTGATGTCCGCACAGCTCCAGAAGAGGTACTGGTTGGTACACACTCCCCACTCCTGGGCTTGTCTGATCAGTCGGAGGGTACACCCATTACACTCGACGTCGGGAAGGGTGATTGTGTAGTGCAGGGTTCTGAAAAGTACAACGAAACATTACATCGAGCAACTGATGGACTTCGCTTCAAACAGTATTTCAGTCATACCATGCAATACCAGCTGGATGTGACAGGAAAGCCTTGGTTTTAGGGTGGGTATTGTATTGAGAAAACAAAAATAAATGTGTGGTCTGTCTGGGATTCGAAGCAATAACCGGTTGAGTGTGGCTAATAAGATCTTCGACACTAGTGTTTATGACACTTCATAAACGTTATCATGGAAGGGGACCCAAGGATGGAACATTCTATACAAAGCGGTGGTATTCTAACTGTTTATGTGCAACGAGTCTTCCACTTGTTGCCTTCAATGAGTGTGTGAGTTTAGTTTTACGCCGCACTCAGCAATATTCCATCTATATGGCGGCGGCAATAAATAATCGAGTATGGACCAGACAATCCACTGATGAACAGCATGAGCATCGATCTACGCAATCGGGATACGATGATATGTGTCAACCAAGTCGGCCAGCCTGACCACCCGATCCCGCCAGTCGCATCTTACCACAAGCAAGGGTTACTGAAGATCAATTCTAACCCGTATCGTAACGGTTGACACGCATCGACATCATCAAATCCACACCACTAGACTCTTACAAATAGGAATGGGATGATAGACAAATCAACGTATGTGTCATGTCGACAAAGATTCTTTGTAAAATATGACCAGTGGGCCTATCAGTACTGAGATAACAGGATAGGAATCCTATAATACAAAACCAGTCATATTTATCTACAACATTGAAAGTTCTCCAGTTGAAGACGTACGTTGTATCGTTGTAGCCCAAAAGTACAATTGGGGTTCCACCATTGTTTCGGGATCCTGTTGTATTCCCTGGTTCTGCCGTACTCTCTGGCTCCGGTGTACTCTCTGGCTCCGGTGTACTCTCTGGTTTCGCCGTTGATTCCGGCTCTGCGGCTGTTTCCGGTTCCGCTGATGCACCCGTTTGCGATCCACCGGCTAGGACAGTGACATTGACGGAATTATCCTGGTAGCGTATTACTTCCCGGTCATTACTGTCCAGGATTTGAAGGTAAAACCCTCCCTGAAAAGTTAACATTGTAATTATTATTTAACACTAACTCGATCAAAACAACTTAAAACCCTTACCGGGGAAGCGTTTCCACAATATCGAAGAAGACCTCAGTAAATCATTAGGGCTCCTTTGCCTTTAGGCAGGGGAGACCTATTGTAATCGTTCGTGTTTTTATTATTATTATTATTATTATTATTTATTCTTCCGCCGTATTTTGTACCAGAGCTACAGAGAGCACCGTTGGACAGAATGCCTTGACAAAAATCACCCAGATGCCCACCGAGGTGTAGATATCGCGCTTTAAAATCTCTAGGCTGTAGGCCCAATAGCAAAGGGCAGATAATTCAAAATTAATTCAAAATTTCAATTTCAAATTCAAATATCTCCAAAACTAATGCTCCAATGTGTGCCAAAGTTCTTGAGCAGATGCGCAATCAAAATGCCTACAATTTCACCTGGACGGCTCAAGTCGCTAAAATGCACCGTTTGGACGCTATTTGGGATTGAAGTTTTGTTGATGTTTTTCAGCAAAATCCTGACTGCATACCTCCCAAAATGTGCTGCACTAAAACTACAAGGGCTACGGCTTTCAAACGTTGCATACTTTGTGTCTATGCAACTACCTACACAGTAGCATCGTCAAATGTGCCTATGTTTATATGATGGCCGCCATATTGGACGCTACTTTTGGGCAAAAGTTGTCTTCAAAAACTTTCACGGGCTACTTTGCTATTTTGTGCCAAACGAAACTTACCACATACAACACTTTAAACGCTTGTTCTGAAGTTGCCTTTGGTTGTTGAACATTTTCTGTTCTTGGTCCTATGTCAAAAGACCCTGCAAGCGCTACGGCTTTCAAACTTTGAAGAGCGCCATAAAATTTACTGATCAAAACATCTGTTCAACATTATCCATGTGGATAAAACGTATGGGAGCTAAAAGGGAAAAAAACTGTTTGAGACGTGCCCCAAATGAAAGAAAAAGAGTGCCAAACAAACTGACCCTCAACTCCAGGCAGAACACGCGAAACGTCACACCAACAGTCTTCCAACAACGTACCAGTCATCATAGATAATACTTACATTCAAAACCCAAAGTTTGGACAGATTTAACGAAATAGGGACTTCTTTTTATCACCGACGGCCCAGGGATACATTGCCGAATGTGTCATAAGTTTCATCGACATTTACGGCACGGCAGATTACCCGTGCAAAACATGCGACAGTCTGAAGGAAGGCGCAAGGACGATATCTCCTATAAAGAGACTACCACTGCAAAGCGTGGTCCACGTGCAGATATGGGAGACGATGTAAATTTCAATTGACAATGACGAGAGCTTGCGCTACACAAAATTAAAATACACTGCAGTACAGGTGCTATTCCTTCATTGTAATTCAATCTGTAAGGGTTATGTCTTTAGGCGGTATTTAAAGATTGTCAATGATTGAGCGCGTTCCGGTCAGGGTCAGGTGGTAAAAGTTGTGAGTAAGCGCTAGTGTTCAACAACGACCAGGCGCTAATGGAAGAGTAAACTCTGGTCTTTAAAACTTCATAGCTGTATCGAGTAATTTCCAGTATATATACGCTATTCATGTAAAACAATCGTTCAACAACGACCAGGCGCCTCACTTTCCGCAATGCCAAGGAAGTATTGTACTCTGAAGTGAGTATAATACGCTTTATAGCTGGAACAAATTCGGTGCTGTTTGCCTGAAAGCTTGTAATGATTTATAAATGGACTAATCACACATCATGAACTAGTGAGAGACTGAGGCTGCTATGAGTTGCTACTGAGTTGCCCTCTGAGTCATTCGGGCGTAGGGCTGGTATGAATTATGAATATCAAAACGATAATGATACATGTACATACCCAGACCCTGCTGTGTGAATACATTTTACTCTAAGTGTAGACTGTCAAAGATAATTATACACATAAAAAACTGAACTCATGGGAACTCCGAACAATACAATACAATACAATAAAAGTACAATACATGTCTTATGGCGATACTGACAGGGTGTAATGACACCTTTGGTTTGAATACCATGTGAGACTCCTCGGCACAGGCTTCAATTATATATCATGCTTAAGTGTACGGTGTCTTGGGAAGCTGCAAGAATGTCGTACCAAACTTTTCAGCAATATTCCAGCAATATCACGGCGGGGGACACCAGAAAGATGCTTCACACATTGTACCCATGTGGGGAATCGAACCCGGGTCCTCAGCGTGACGAGCGAACCACTAGGCACCATTAGCTGCTTCGTACTTGTGTGAAGAGCTGCTCCATCATTAAATCGTCAGGATTCGAAGATGTTACACTGTTACTTGCTGCTAATTCTGAGCTGGGAATTAACTGGCTTTTCTGAACGTGCATTTAATGCTATTGAAGCTGAGGCAACGTTCGGTTACTACAAATGAGACCAATACCGATTGTACCGTATTGACATTTAATGAACTATCCCGATTTTGACCTATTGTGCAATTTATCGTTCTCATTCGGAGACATACGGACTGTACGTATAATATTAGAGAAGTTCTTTATTAGTCTTCACATGGGTTAAGTCAGAGAAACAGACTCGAATGCTAATTTGTTCAGTACGGTTTAGATCATTAATGACTTGAACATTGTGGTGCGCAGTGTGTACTGAGTGGCGGGTGCTGTAGGAAGGACATATGGTTTCTCTAACACCGGGTGTCATCACTGACTCAGACGTTTACCTTTGCTGAAACCCATGAGTAAGGGCATGGTGCTGGCCAACCTAGCAACAGAATCGGGGCCAACCGAAATTAACCTTTTTTGTAGTGTCCAAGCGATTTACGGCGCCATTGCCAACGTCATTGATCAAACACACAGAGTAACAGCCTTAAAATGGGAATGTATTTGGCAATTTCTCTGAGGTGAAGGTCGGTAGAATGAGAGTATACACAATCACCATATCCCGCCGATTACACTTTCAGTATCATAATGTAATCGTTCGGATATTTTTTCATGAAACTAATTTAATTATCTTCATTTAGCCTTGTTCAATATCATATCATACGTGGGTATAGGGTGTACGTGTTTTATTCTTTGAAAGTGTTTGTTTGAATAATATTTACAGAAGAAATTCACACATTTAGTGTAGTAAAGCATATATAAACCTTTCCACAAGTGTTAAAAGATGAAACGTAGGCATAATGTACTTGTACATCATGTATTTTAATTCCTATGATGTGCATAGTTACAGTTTCGTATGTAACTCTTCGTCAGAATAATTTCCAATATCGAAGTCCAGTCCACGATACACCCTATCCTTTCTTTGCTGAACTGGCATCATGAAAGCAGTGTTAGCCATGAACGCCATTTGCGAGTTAACCACACTGTTGAAAAGTTAGCGGCGGTCCTTAGGTGTGTTAACTTAACGTCACGTTAACAGCCTGTTAAAAGTTAACAGAGTTTTGAACAACAAGATAACCCTCTCTTATTAGGTAACAGTCGGTTAAATGTACTTAACGGCTGGTTAAAAGATAACCGAGTTTTGAAAACCGGGCCGAGTTGGATCTCATACAAGTGAGCACTAAAATTAGGGACCTAAAGTTAGGCATATATAAGAAGTGTACCTAAGGTGAGTTATTTAAACTGTAATGTAGTTTCCATTACAACAAGTATAAACGATATTACCTACTGATCAGAATGCCTTATCAGTACCCCAACACCGGCCGACCGCCACCACCCTACCCTAAGCCTACCCCATCCCACACCCTCTCCCTCTCACACACATGCACACACACTCCCTAACTTACATAGACCCGATATTTGAACCCTTCAAACATACATCATGTGTATGTCAAGAGAGACACGCACGTTAATAGTGGTGCTCAGTCATGGGTATCACTTCACTGTTTCTAATTATCTCAGTACATTATGGCGTGGTCGGACGCGATAACGAACCCTGTGGGACAGTTATATTACAGAACCATTGAAATACTTGTTAAAGTAGGGTCAATCTTGTAACACTCAATTTACCCATTACCAACCATTTACGCATGTACTAAATATATGACAAACCTAACCCTGGTCATACGAGATTTCAAAGGTATTGAAATGCATGTCCTACAATCACAGCATTTACATATGTTACACATGCTAGAAAACACATGAAAACAATGGCCAGATTTACACACCTGTGAAATGCATGTAAAGGCAGAGTTGAGTGTTCGTTTATTTTAACACCCATTTAACGTGTGTAAGTCTGACAGCCAGATTATACGTAGATTTCAAACGTTGTTCATATGGCCGCCGGATGACACGTTTATTTACTAACGTTAGAAAAATTGGGTAATACAATGATTTCATGTGGTGTTAAGGGATTTGTAATTCAGATTACGATGTCTTAATGATATTAAGATAGTATGATCCCCAGAGAGTTGAGATTGACAATACGATGTGCCGTTGAGATTGACATCCAGTGAACGAGGGAAACACAAAGCGCCTTTGAGCAGCTGAGCTGAGCTGGGTATCGGCGCTATACAAATGTATGTATGTATGTATGTATGTATGTATGTATGTATGTATGTATGTATGTATGTATGTATGTATGTATGTATGTATGTATGTATGTATGTATGTATGTATGTATGTATGTATGTATGTATGTATGTATGTATGTATGTATGTATGTATGTATATATGTATGTATGTATGTATGTATGTATGTATGTATGTATGTATGTATGTATGTATGTATGTATGTATGTATGTATGTATGTATGTATGTATGTATGTATGTATGTATGTATGTATGTATGTATGTATGTATGTATGTATGTATGTATGTATGTATGTATGTATGTATGTATGTATGTATGTATGTATGTATGTATGTATGTATGTATGTATGTATGTATGTATGTATGTATGTATGTATGTATGTATGTATGTATGTATGTATGTATGTATGTATGTATGTATGTATGTATGTATGTATGTATGTATGTATGTATGTATGTATGGTTATTGTAGAGATCCGACTGTAAATCCGTAATAGCCCAGAGACACTGACATGAAAGCATTTCAATACAGTTAAACAATTCACTGCATTCGTAACAACTTGTGTCATTCCGGCAATCCTTCTTGTAGGTCATGGATAGAGACGAATAGTTACGAATGAATTCACTGGAGCGAGAACAGCGTGGTTACTTGGGGTCTAAACAGAAACGTGACGCGATATAAATAGATACAAGTCGGGAGCACTTTACGGGTACATCGATACGAGACGGGACGAGGGTTTGACATACAATTTAACAGATCGTGGTGACATGCTACTAATGAGCGTGGAATTACCCGGGCTGCTAGTGATAGCCATAACTGAACGATGTTGTGTTATATATATGAGAGGCGGACATTAAAATAACATTTCATGATGATGTCACGTTAGAACAATACGTCAAAACGACACATAGTAAAGTCGGTTAGACACATTGCATCGTGGATATGCTTTGTGATACTATTACTTTTGATATCACCATCTCTCATAACTAATAATAGTGCTTAATATTAGTTCCTGCATATTATATTTTACGTGTGTTTAGATAAAAACGATTTGTCTGGATAGATTTATTTGATCTGTGCAGGTGTATGTCTTACGTCGTCTTATTCAGGACCGCCTCCGCGGTGTAGTGGTTAGAGCGTCCGCCCGGAGAGCGGAAGGTCGTGGGTTCGATCCCCGACCGCGTCATACCAAAAGACGTTAAAGTATGGTACTTGTTGGTCCCTGCCTGGCGTTAATGGATACAACAAGGTCTGGTCGGCTCGGAGTCAGTATAATGTGTCTGAGTGGGGTATTCATGCTTCACTGCGGCATGGTATCTCAGTGGGCTAGCACTATAAAACCAGCTTAAATCTGGGCTAGTACAAGCAGCCGCACATATACACACACACGCATGCACGTCGTCATATGAGCGAAATATTCTCAAGCACGACGTTAAACCCAATTTCACCCCACCTCACCTCTTATTCAGATTTATGATTTTATATTACATGGTATGTAATGCAGTAAGCCGGATGGCCGGATTTATATTTGATTGTCCTATGCACGTGTTGTACCATGAATTTGTATAACATGTGACAATGCACTAAACATTATTTTCTTTTCCCCTTATCACAACCCCATTATGACACAGTGCAGTATACAACCATGTCAACACGTAACATCTACATGTATCGTGACGGAAGGGAACAATCCTTTCATTGTCACTGAACAGGTTTCGTTCTTTATATAGAATGTGTCTAGTCATAACGACAAATCAATGTTTTGTACAAAGTAGTCGACACGGTTTGGTTGTGGTATATGTCACTATCGTGTCACCCGAGTGAATCCGTACAGTCCTTATCAAACATTAAAAGGAGATTCCTTATGATTCACTATTTGCTCAAGGTTATTGTGAAGCAAATATGCTTCTAAAGCCCCGTTGAAATACCTCTGATAATCGAAACATATTCTTGGACATAAATCCTTACACAAAATAACTGTTATTTTGATACAACGTGCTATAGGCTGACTCTCGGTCAAAGTAATCGTGATGGTAAACACAGAAGAATGGACATCAATCTGATATGGCAAAAGGATACAAGTCACCATGTTATATACATTACATCTTGACATGAGACGACAATGTGTCTGAAAAGGTCATATAATACCATAATCTATATTTTATTGTTGATATCTTCATATTATTCTAAATGCCCTTCCACCCTGTCATCTATAATTTATGTTCGTTCATGTTTCGATCGGTAGGGTAGTGGTTCATTTTGCTCGTTACACTGAAATCCTGGTTCGATTTCCGACAATACAATGAGGGTGGACATTTCTGGTGTCCCACGCCGTGACAATCCTGGAATATTGGCAAAGCGGGTTTCTCGTTCATGTTTACAGGGTGCACTGGATCTCAAACTATGTATTTTCCCCGAATAACTGTACTAAATATCAGTTCAAACTGTAGAGGTCTTCTCGATTACCCATTATAAGTATAAAGACCAGAAATAAGTAATTCAGAATTTCATATGCTCATAAGTCCAGAAAGATGTGCTGAAGGCAACAGAGAACAGCATCTGCCTAGATTGTGGTTTAACACCGCGCTCAGCAGTATTCCAGCTATATATCTGCCTAGTAGATGTTACACTGACGTATGTATCATTACCAAGTGATTAGCACAGTATAGGTACATAACGTCAATGACACAGAATAACCAGTCTCGATTGAAAGGGTCTCTCTCTCTCTCTCTCTCTCTCTCTCTCTCTCTCTCTCTCTCTCTCTCTCTCTCTCTCTCTCTCTCTCTCTCTCTCTCTCTCTCTCTCTCTCTCTCTCTCTCTCTCTCTCTCTCTCTCTCTCTCTCTGTGTGTGTGTTACGGTGTGAGGCCAGAAACACAAATGTTTTCGTTGCGCCTGACTGATTGTCAGTGATCCATTTTTTGCCTTTCACGACCAATCGAGACTGATTACTGATTATTCCCTGGTCTTGACTTACATTTCCAACATGCATTTTTCAATTTGATAGGTTAGAATCAATACTAGCTGATGTTTACTTCAACTAATTCAACAACATTATCATTCTCACAGAAAACATGTCAGTGAAGGCAGTGTTCAAGCTGCACTAAAAACTGTATGTAAGATTGTTGTATGCATGTTTGTGGACGCAGCGTGCAAGCTGCACCAGGACCTGCATGTCAGATTGTTGTATCCACTCACCTGATGAGGGTAAGCTATATGCCAGGTGACATTTATCACAGACCCAGCTTTAAACTCAGTTTCAGGACCAAGACCTGAGGAAATAAAAAACACAAAAAAACATATAAGACACAGTATCTTCCTCTAAATACTAAATCAGTGTAAACATATATTGTTGGAATGTTAGCAAATGTTTGTACATATACATATACACATTGAGACACAGATTGCTGGGTATTCTCCCTATATTTGGAATTACACATGGTACGTAAATACAATATTTTCCTGAAAAGGTCTTTTTGGGCTAAAAAACTGATGAGAAATAATTTGTCTTGAAATATTAAAATCTACTCTCTTTTCAATCTTATCAGAAGACCAGGCATATAACTGTCCACAGCCTTGTCAGTCCATATTCATCTGACATATAACTGTCCACAGCCTTGTCAGTCTATATTCGTCTGACATATAACTGTCCACAGCCTTGTCAGTCCATATTCATCTGACATATAACTGTCCACAGCCTTGTCAGTCCATATTCATCTGACATACATATTAATAAGCGAGTGGGTCAGCTTTCAAATAAAGGCCCACGTTTCATAATCTGTTAAAGCTCAGTGATTACATGACTTAGTTCACGCTGTTCACATCCAACAGTCCGTCATCATTGGTCGTCGTCGTCGTCGTCATCATCATCATCATCATCATCATCATCATCATCATCATCATCATCATCATCATTACCTTAAACTAATACGGAAACACACAAACATCTCGAATCCACGAATCCATAAAGGCTTTTCAGATCAGTAAGACCTCTTTATTGCTATTATCTATGCAGCTGATCTATTGACCCCCATCATTCATTACCTTTAGCCACTCGTGCAGGACACAGGTCAAGGCGGTTTATGATATTCATATGCTTTAATAGAACAGTTTATAGATTGTCTGCCATTAAGTGACATATTGACTGTTGACGTCCGGTCATAACCTCGTTCTGCCAGTGTGTATGGGAATTAAGTTCAGTATTTATGGTATATGCCTTGTTAATGTGGCCAATACTTCAGTGAGATGACAACTATGCTGGGGAGATCACACTGGGATACCATGTACAGCCATCTGCACTTGAACATGTCAGAAACCTATGAATGTCGGTTCGAGTCCCGGTTTTGCAAGCTTATAGTGGGGTTCATTAACGTGGTAAATGTCTGACACCTCACTCACTTGATTGATTTATGACTTGACAATGTACTTGTATGTCTAAAAGTTACAAATGTATTTCTATGTTAAGATTCGGAATGATTTTGTATGTTTACACAAACCACATACTACGGTTCGTACAAAGTTATCCAGGTCATATCACACATGTAAGTTTAATGTCAAAATGTTGATAATGAGATGCCAGTATATGAAATGAAAAGAATAATCATATTTACATAGAAGACTCACTTAATAACAAAAGTTTGACATACATCCTTATACGGCAATGCTTGCTTGACATCGACAAACGGATCTATATATAAACACCGCTCTTCAGTATAATACAGACTTTTATCCATAAGTTATACCTACTTTGTCATCCGTCAACATCTAAGAAATGCCTATCATATAATTCATTCAATTAACAGCCTGTAAAACTGGTGACCTGTCAGTTTCATAGCTTGTTAGATTGCATCCAGAGGCATCTTGTTCACTATAACACTGAATTGAGATGTTATGTGATCAAATCTGTGATGAGGCGATACTCGCATACTTGCCATGTTATTGATAACTGATTACCTATCGCCTCGAGGAAGGAGATTCCAAGTTTGATTGAGACTGAGATGTCAATCAGCGACATGGTACATGGGAGAATCATATCGACATGATGAATGTAGATCACAGAGTAACAGCATCACCCTTTTAATCAAATACACATTGTCGTTTCACACGTAAGAAGGATTAAATGAAACTAACTGTATCTACACAACCAGAAGGGAGTAATAGAGGACACCGTCCACAGAGTTGCTTAATCCGAGGGTTGTGTTAAAAACTGAATGTACTAACTTGTATTATACAGCTGGAGGTGATTTATCTGTCGTAGATTTGTTAATAAAGAGACACTGATATAAACATACATTTCACTGTGTTAATTTTGTCGGTGTGTGGTTTAGTTTTGGATTGAGTTTCTAAAGTTTTGTTTACCATTTTTCACCAATCCCGAGCGATGTCGGTTTAGAGGGAGTGCATTGTATATGTTTCGTTTAAGTGTTTCGTGTCTAGTTTACAGTTAACATATCGATGAAGATGAAAAAGACCCGACAAACATCATTATGTTTCTATCTATAATCACAATGTCATGAAATGAAATCTGTTAAAGGGATAATCCATTGCAGGATTCGGACTACAGCATAAACATGCGTTTATAAACTACTCATAAAAGTGTACTTACAACAGGTGTGTGCGAAAAGGTGAGTGAATCCTGACCCAATCACAAACACATGAATAGGTACCTTAGTTGTTCAGCTGTTAAAGCCAGGGTATTTCAACCCTCGTCTGTTGTTTTTTAATCCATGACGTCGTGTTTCTCACTTTGTACATATTGTTGGATGTCGGTGTAATCTGGATACTGGTTACAGTTTCTTTTTCTCTCACTCGAACTGGTCAGATGAATACCTTGTCATTTTCCTGATTGTAAAATGTGCTTTCTTGAACCATAGTCGACCGAAATGTTTACAAACGTGATGTTCCTGAAATATGTTTCAAAGCTGTCACTCACAAATATCTACATGTAATACGGCATAACTCTTTGTGAGACAATATTGCGTTATTACGGTTGACATTCACACTTATTAGTATACGAATCACTTTGAAGATGCACATAAAACATTCTTTCTTCTTTGAACTTACACATGTTTGTGTGATCGATGGTGTCTGTTAACTGTCGGTATCCTAGAAGACCAGTACCTACACTCAGCTGTTCCTCTTATACAACCGATAAACAGGCGAAGACAATACATTGAACTTGTGTACCGAGAGATAGCCTTTCATTATAATACTATTAACTCCGTGAGTAAAATTACATGAGGCGATGTATTACGTAAGTAGTAGCATCAGATTCAGCTGAATGGGCGCCTCCCGTGCCCTAGCACCCATGAAACCAATGACAATTGAATCGTAATGTCCCACTTGGTTACCGGAGTGGGTAAATGAAGTGTTATTAACAGTGCTGTATAATGAGCTCCACAGTGATGGTACAAGGGCCCAAAGGACTTATGGTGACCACCGATCGGTCACATACCGATTTGACCTCGGGCGTTTTGCACTTGACCATACGACCCCACCTCCAACTTACATTCTGTATTATTGAAAAAGAAGTATGTTTGTAACGGTAGACAATAGAGTCTTTCTGGTCGAAACACGACGTCATTCATTTCATTTATTAAAATATTTGTGTTTAGTTTGAATGCTCTTTAGAATTGATAATATTTTCAATGGTATGGCTTGCCCGATTTTGTAGAGCCTGGTTTTGGATCAGTACTCGTTGCCGTTGACTATTTGTGGTTGACCCATTAGCGAGGTCGATGGTCAGCATATTTTATGTACTGTTGGCTTTTAATGACCAGACTGCGAAATATTTAAGGTATAGGACATCGCACCCTGGCTTCTGCCAGTTTACAACATGTCAATAGCCTCTAGACGCCACATCGCCAGTATATACACAAACAATGAAGGAAGTAAAGTACCGGTCGCATATAAGCAGAATCAATATGATTGACAGAAAAGGAAGAACTTGACCTTCCTAGAAGGTTTCAAAAACAAGAATGGCACAGGCAGAAAGGGTCTTTCTTAATATGCATGGGATCAACACTTATATTTTATTCTACTACCTGCTAATACCATATATTTGTTATTATATGATTCCCTACTTTTTGTACCAGTGAGGTGAACGAGTGAGAGTTGCTTAACAACGTTATAGCAATATTACAATCTGATGACGGCAGGGATACCAACGGTTGGCTTTACCCAATGCACCACACAGAGACAAAACGGGTGTTCGATGTGAATAGACTCGAACCATAAAACTACCCACTGTCTATCCGAAACACAAAGGCATATCAAATTGATTAATACTGTTGACGGGCAATGAGCGGACATTTTAGTTGATAAATCTGCATAACAACAGTATATTAACTATTGTTGGAAATCCTGTGTTGTGCATCCGGCTATGATCGTAATGTCTGCATTGCGGGTACAATTGTTGGCAAAAACAGCCATTATAATGCAGTTTCCAGAACAATATTCCCTGAAAGACGATATCCACTATCAAAACAAACTCTTAAATATATCACAAAAGATCCATTCAAACTCTGTTCTAAAGGCCCTCCGTATCGTGCAAATGAATATGTGTTTCTTTCGCAGTGTTTCTGTTGCATCCGGGTTGACATGCTCGGCGATTGGTTGATCATGAACTGAATACACTTGCAATTAGATGCACGAAACATTATACACTCTGTTTTTTCAGGGTATTCATGCATGTATCTGCCCACTCCACGTACACTCATGACGGATAATACAACCCGACAACGTCAACTTAAAGAACAGAATCCTGTTTTAGTGAATGCCATGCACTTAGTACCTCAGTATTAATATCAATTTAAGCAGCACTATACGTAAATGTTGAACCCAATAGTAAGATAAATATAGGCAATTAATTTTGATGGAGACAGGATATCAATGAAGATAGACGCGTTTGGTCAGAAATATGTTATTACTTTACGTTTTAGAAACCTATGGTGTATGGGTGATGAACTTATGGACCTGTGAAAATGGTTTATGATCATTGGGGTTGAAGACTTATGAAAATAGTTGATAATCATTGGGTCTATAGACTTATGAAAATGGTTTATGATCATTGGATTATAGACTTATGAAAATGGTTTATGATTGATGGATTTATAGACTTATTAAAATGGTTTCTGGTTGAATAAGACATAGTGCAACCCTGTTACCATCTGAGTGTTAATTAAGGCTACAGGACGCGGAGAATCCACACGGAATTATTTGCTACGTCTTCCCTGGTTTCAATAATTAAACAGTAATAATATTCCCTCTCCTTGACCGAACAGCGTCCAGAAACTGTGCCACTCACCGGGGATCAGCATATTCAAATATTGACAATTATTGACCGAGTGCCGTGCGCTATTTGTCCTAGAAAATGTACACAGAATGTAGATTCTTATGTTCTATTTCATCTGCAAAGGGTAAGTATGATTATATCTGTAAAGGCACATTACACAAAACATATTTTTTTATGTTGGATGCTGTCTGAAAATGGGCATTCACGGACTTGAACATCACCGAAACCCGGCATATCTACATTCACACCCTTCGCACACATGGAGACTGTGAGGAATTGCAACATAAATATCAGAGCTAGCCATTAACACATCTACCTGTCTCCAGCCAGAAATGTTCAAACCTTGTAGAGATGGGAAGCTGTAGAAAAACCCCAAATGGATAATCCTTGGAGTAAATAATAACAGTTTAACACTGTTTTGTCCAACTTTCACGGGTCGAACTAAAGGCTGTATCGAAGTCAATTGTAGTCCCTATTCTTTATATAGTCATCGGTTTTATATGTGTCGAGCATCGGGTAACTCGAAGTATTGGCGAAGGTCACTTCAACATCGACACTCTTTAATTAGTCATCATTTTGTGGATGTGTCGAACATCGGATCACTGGAAGTATTGGTGAAGGTCCCTTTAACAACGACGTAACGTTGTTTGATTGTATTCCACTTTCTTCCACTAAATTACCCCAGGGACGATTTAGAGCAGGGGTTATGGTTTCTGGAAAATCGTCCTGGGACGTATATCTGTCTGTCTGTCTGTCTGTCCGTCTCACACATATTCGTGATAAATCGACACAGCATTATGTAGATATGTCTTATGAATATGATAAGATTTTCTCGCTTTTCAATTTTATTGAATAATCAGCTCTATTGTGTACATTAAACAATAACTCGTACTGTAACCTTAAAATCTAATGATAGATTGAACAGTTATAATCGTATAGCAATAACCTGTTATTTTAACAATTCCCCTTGCAATATGAAGATCACGTTATAGTCCAGCCATGTTGTGCTCGAAGTCAACTTGTGTATGAATGTGATAAATAGCAGTATCTATTATTGTGTACGTCTATACGTTGTAGTCAATGGTAGTGAATGTGGGGAGCAATGGCGACTAATCACAGGGGAATGTGAGCACTGTAAATACTTGGCGAGATGTGTCAACCAGCGGAAGGTATCACGACTACGTGTATTTACAGTTGAATGATGGTAAACCCAAGGCAAACGTTAATCAGCGGTCGATATGCTCCGTGTGTACGTATGTAGACTTGCAACACAAGTATGTTGTAAAAAAGCTGTTTCGTAAGCTGATACTGAAACGGTGCTGTTTTATAGCTATCTATTCTATAAGAAAATTTACCTGATTGTATAAGCTACGTGAATATATTTGAATGTTTGAGGATCCACAATACACAACGGGTTTCTGTTTCACATTTTAAATGAGTATATATTTATGGATCGTTCATTCTACACTGAACTGAAATACGTAAGGTATTAAACGTTTTCAAATTTAATTGATTTCACAATTCATCTGTCATGAATTATAAACTTCAGTTTTCCGAATGAGTGAGTGAGTGTGCTTATTTGCGGTATTAGCAGTAACATAATGACGGAAAACTGCAGAATTGGACCAATAATCCAAGATGTGGAATAAGATTGACATCAAACGCCAATATGTTTAAGTTAAAAACAAGACGAAAACAAAAAGTCACCTTTGAAGCTTAAATACATATTACGGCTCCTAACTTTGAATAAAGAAGGAGCTTTATATAAATGCCGTACAATAACACTAAAGCATATGGAGGTGAAAGCTTACCTCGCGGAACTCCACAAGGAGCTATGGTTCTGGCGTTGTCAAGAAAATCCAAGGCATATTTTCTCGCTGGCGGAAACGTTAAAACAATATGAGCACTACACGCCTGAAGTGCTACAAGTACTATCACAGATGTGATCAACATTCTTCTGTTTGGCTATCGAAAGAAAAATAATTTCGACAACCCGATCGCTGTCGTGGACCTGTCAGTGTCCTTCCCGGAGAGCTCGCGAAGATTACCGACTACTGTATACTTATGAACATTTAACTCAGCGCTCTTCCCGTAGTGTTATGACTGAAGGAAACCAGTTCTACCAGGCAAGACCGCGCCCCGATGTCTCAATGGTTGAATTTCGTTTCGGTCGAACGGATTCCTCTCTTCAGTGGCAACCCACATAGAAAGTCGTGCGTAGTTGTTGACAAGCAGCTGACGTATGTGGCAGACTATGGTGTTTTGTTGCATTGGAAGGTGTCTCCCGATGTATTCATGTAACGAATCGCCTATGGTCGATAATATTCATTATTCATGAATCCCAACGGGTGTTTAAACATGACAGCATACTGTTATTATTAGTTGCAGGATGGTTTTGCTTAGTACAGTGTTCCTCCGATGGTCTATTCCATCAGTATTTCGGAGTAGAAAGACTGCTTAGACCAACACGAGTGCACAAACCCAGATAGCATTCAGACGCTGGCCCAACATTGGCAATGGTTTTGCAAACATTGCCAACGTTGGGCCAACGTCTGAATGTTATCTGGGAACTACTTACTCTGAGATAAAAGATAAAAAATAAGTTTCACTGTATTGTGGTTTCATTTAAACTGTTATTCTTACGTACATGGTTACAAAGGTAATTGACGAGTATATATAGAGAGTGAGAGAGAGAGAGAGAGAGAGAGAGAGAGAGAGAGAGAGAGAGAGAGAGAGCTAGTAGTCGTATAATGTAATAGTCTGTGATTGGTATTTCGTATAGCATTGGGCTGTGATCAGTATTTTTTACAATGTTGGTTTGGGAATGGTATTTCGTGTAGCATTAATCTGTGTTTTGTGTTTTGTACAATGTTTTTCTGTGTTTGAGATCAAATATATTTTGTAATTTGCCATGAATTTAACGTGAATATAAACGTGAATAACAACAATGCAAAATTCTGCAAGTCATGGAAGTGTTTCGTGAAGACCATTCACGTCATTGTTATGTAGCGGAAGACTGAGTGTTTAGCTTCTTAACACCAGGTGCTCCCAGCCGTGACAGACACTGAAATGATGTTCACATGAAGCCACTAGAGCAGATATAAGTGTGATGTAGACGAATATCGCATAGTTAATATCACGAAATAACCTGACTCTACATATTACAATGAGAATGGAGCATGGACAAGTTTATAATAAAGCTGGGTAGTTTCAACAATTATGGTATACGGGAACAGTCAGGTTCCTGGATCACGATGACTTCGCAACTGATTCATGTCAGTCACTAGATACAAGCGTGATCCATTTCAGGAAAAGTGGGTGTGCTGGGGTCAACGGTATACCACGTTGTGGCACCTGGCCGTGGGAGGGAATCCGGAACTGATGCCGGCCTCAGACGTTTATTTAAGAGTAGCTATATTCTGGATACTTGATAAGAGTTTAATATTTTGGAAGAACGTTAAATACCTTTAAAGTCCGTGTCAAATGAGTATTTGTGCAGATATTTTGTACTGATATTTTAAAGATGTATTTCAAAATCCAGCTTTGGGCGAAGATGATTTTTCAAGTACATTGAATAAATGTTTCTGATGTTGCTAATCAAGTAGCACCTCTTCATGGGCTCTGGTCCGCAAATAAAGAACATGAGATCAGAAGTGTTAAAAAATCAATGAAAAACGCTAAATCGTCAGGTTTTGATTTATGTTATTACCGGAATTGTTCAAATGATCATTTATTCCTTAATAATACTTTATTTAATAGGATTTATTCAACTGGCCAGTTGTGGTTTACATCTGTTGTTACAGCGGTGTGATAAGCCCAGTGGTTAAGGTGTTTGCCTGTCATGCTGAACCCCAGGGTTCATTCCCCAAATGTATAATGAGTGATTTATTTAAACAGAAGCTCTGTTGTTAGAATGTTGCCACAAGCGGCATAAAACAGATCTCACTCATCGAACATCTTCACGGTCTTTACAGAAAGAAGACACTGTTTATTGACGTCATTCGGTGCAGTGGGGTAGCCTAGTGGTTAAAGCTATGATCATCACGCCGAAGACCCGGTTTCCATTCCCCACATGGGTACAACGTGTAAAGACCATGTCTGGTGTTCCCCGCCGTGGTATTGCTGGAATATTGCTAAAAGCGGCGTAACTCACTCACTCACTGCTGGCGTTAGTCTTTACTACAAGGCTGATTATTGCTCATTTCTTGTTTAAACTTCAATGTCATTGTGCTTAGATTTACCCTCGTTGCCACGTGCACTCGAATTACATCCCCAGCTCCTTGGTGAGTATAAAAGTCTTAATATAATCTCCGCCTACCTGGTACCCATTCACTGCTGGGTGAATGGACATTCTAAATAAATGATCATTTCCTACATTCTGATTTGACCAGTTCTAATTACTCTGCTGCTGTGTATATATAGATGCAGTGATATGTGAGTGTAAGCTCTTGACTTCGTATCAGGGTTATTGATAGGTTATGGCGAAAGTACGTAAGCCCCAAGACATTCAAAGTAAATTTAAACTAACCACTGTTTTAATCGTAGAATACGCGTATGTTTTTATGTTTGGCTAGGGTCCAAGCAGGAAGCCAATGTACTTTAAGTCCCCATGGTCCCTAGTATGGTGACCTCCCTTTGGTTGTTGGCAGTATTTTGCCTTTCTAATATGTTGTCTTGTAATTTATAGTTAAATGTTTTAGAGTTAATTACTAGTTTTAACTGGTTATATCTGGGATAAACTAGTTGTTTTACTGTTCACCGTTGACAGCTATTTTATAATTTACCTTTCTTCGTTATTAATCTATAATTAATCTATAACTCGATATAATCACGATATAGCTGAAATACTGCCGATATAACTTAAAATTTTAACTCGCTCACTCACCGATGGTGAAAGAAAAGCAAATGTGAATACCTAAAATACATCAACGTAGTTAAACCGCTTGTTGATTGGTAACCATATATGTTATGCTATACTTGTACATGTGTAGATGGATGGATTGGAATGGATTGCCCCTCATGTAATGTCATGCATTACGCTATGGTCCGCAAAAATTTACATGTTGAATGGAGTTAATACACGGCTTGATAAAACTCCCAAATGTCCTGTTTATCTGCACAAGTAAATCATTTCTCTGCGTGTCTGTCTGTATGTGTATATTTGTGATGCAAATATATACGTTTGTTCATTCATATCAAGAAACAATTCAAATGCATTTGACACACCTTATATGTTACACTTTACAATCTGAAGTCCCGAGAGGCCATAATCTGTTTCATAAACACTGCATTTCATATTTCGCCCATGCTTTAAATACAACCACTTTAAACAACACCTGGTGGCAATATAGTATCTTCTATAATATATTTGCAAAAGACCCCGCACCCAGCTCGCACCCAAATAGAGGATATAAACATTGAATGGGTTTCTTGTAGTACACCGAAACGTGAACCCCTATAACAGGATGTGAATGTTCCAAATTTAACTGAGGTGAGAAAAGTCATACAAATACAGATTTTTCTACTGTCTAATCACAATTGAAATCGTGCACATTATGTCAACATGACTCAGGAGTTTTTTTCGTGACACATCTGTGTTGATATTGGAATGGTATCTAAATTTGTTCTCAGCGAACACGCGCTGGAGCTGAAAGAAGAAGGCCTGTTGAAATCAGAATCCACGCTTGAAACTGCTGTGTCATGTTAAATGTGCAAGTCATGCTGGTAAATAGCGTGGTTCAGCATGACGGATCACGACGTCCATACTGTTGGCCACCTCTCCAACCTCGTAGGTAAATGAGGTCGGATAGTGTTATCCATTACTCGTGATTTTCTGCTGAATGGATGGTAGTGTATAGCATTTGACCTGAATGTTTCACGACCTGGTGTATTCAACCATGACGAAGATTCTTTATGTCGGATTTCATCGGGGTTTGTGACTCAATCTTCTTTGATAGTCAACATTTTTAACAAATATCATTGACCTGATATTTTGTTGTTTCTTTCAAAATGATTTCAAGTTCTCATTTAGCTAATGAAATCAAACAGACGATTTGTGTTTATCCACTGGTGAAAATTTACAAGTTGCTTCAATACTAAAATAGTTTAGATCAGGAAAGTCAACCAGGTTCTATGCTCGTATTGTACATTCTTCTGTTCCATTCTCAGTCCGATATGTCGTGCATTTGTGTACCATTTGTCTGTCTCTTCACATGTTGAATAGACATATTGAATGACGAACTTGTATCTGGGTTACACTCATAACCCGCGACTCTGCTCTCTACTGGAATGTTTGAGTCCATTGTCATAGTAGAATAAACCATATTTATCATCCAAAACTGTGTTCCACAGGAGATATCGCTTGTGTGAGATCATATGATATCTCCTAGGAGATATCATTTTAAAAGTAGATTTTGTGCAATGCCCTGACAATGCTATGACGTCATCACCTTGATGACGTCACAATGCTATGACATCACTGCACTGCAAGTCTAATGGTAGTACAGTGTTGAGAGATGTACATTTTCATTGAAAATTAATGAAGAATGATTTTTGATGATAAATAGAATCTCACCCTCGTGTCTACTGATATCAGTTATATCAACACTCGTTGATAAAGGTAAAAATATCCTCGGCAAGCCTCGGATATTTGTAACTTTATCAACTCGTGTTGATATAATAGATATCAGTAGACACTTGGGTGAGATTCTCTATGTATCGTATATGACCAGTTATGCAAATGTAGGTAGAGTATGCGATACATTTGTATTTCATGTTTTACACGGCGTGTCTTCTTAATGTGGGATTAAAGCCCGAAGTTGTATAGGTCTTAGTTGTTTAACAGTTTGGTTACACCAACGAGCACAGATAGACTTTAGTATGCTAGGTACGGATAGGGACAAAACAGTAGCATGCCAGGCAACACCAGCAGAAAAAGGTTGCGTGACATATGGAGGCATTAAGGTAATATGACAGAGAATCTTTTAGAACAGGTAGATAATATGACAGGTAGGCTTTAGAACAGTTAGATAATATGACAGTTAGGCATTAGGACAGGTAGGTTTTAGAACAGGTTGGTAATTTGACAAATAGGCATAAGGGCGAGTAGGCATGATGACAGGTATGCAAACCAACTGAGGTAATAGGACTGGAAGAGGCAATAACACATGTACAGGTAATATGAGAGGGAACTT